ACATCCATCATCCATCCATCCATCCATCCATCCATCCATCCATCCATCCATCCATCCATCCATCCATCCATCCATCCATCCATCCATCCAACACAAACGACAGTCAGATCCTATCCACCCACCTGAAGGTGCAGGGAAGCTACCATCTCATCTACTATAGAGAAGACCAACACACAAGCTCCAAGTCAGGGGGAACAAAAGTAGACCCACACCAGCTCTGTGCTTCTCACCATGGGCAACTACCAGAGTAGAATAATGTTCAACCCCTCTTGAGGAGATTGGTTCCACAGGAAGGTGTACTGTACATAATGAAGCTAAAATAAAAAAAATCCTAACTTACTTTGTATGACCCCTAATTTACACTACATGTGGCTCAACTCCGCTTCACTGTGTTACGACCTCCGCAGCAAATACACAACCATTGTAATCAATGAGAGTGTTTACACTGGTTCCGTACGGTGTCGGTGAGCGGACGACGATCTGCCAAAATTAGAACTGATCCTATTTTTGCCAGACGCTGGAGCTGCTCCGGAGTCAATCTACAGAGATCACATAGCACCAACAGGAAAAGGAACAAGCACAACATCTGTATTTTCAAAATAAGACACCATAAGGAGGAATAGTTTTTCAAAATCCCTGCTATATTAATCAATATTTATACACAAATGCTGTCATAATGTATCATTCTGTTTGGGATGCAGATGGAAACATGTAACATGAAGCATATCTGTACACACACGAAACACATGGATTTTATTTTGAAATCAGAAGTTAAAAAAACGACAGTGACAGTTTCAACCATAGATATCAAAAGCTTTTATATCAATGTTTTCAGCTGTGTTTGGAGTTCGTCTTTCACAGAATTAATTAATTTTTGATCTGACTTCCACATTTATCACTGGATTTATTGTTTGATCTCCTTCCTGCACACCCTCCCTCCTCTGTGTGTTGCACCGGAGCAGACCTGAGTGGAGCGGAGGCTGTATACGTTGGGATGCAAATGAACAGCTGCAAACTGCACAGCGGCACGGAGCCGGATCTAGTGTAAATCCAGGGTCAAGATTTAATAAACCTGACATTCATACTGTATGAAGATGCAATAAAAAATAAACCATACATATCAGCACGAAGCTGAAATAAAACTATAAACCACATAATGAAAGCATATATCACATTCAGTTTGTGGCTGTTTAAAAGGTTCTCACACCCCCTCTAGCTACAGGCCAGTATAGGATCGTAGGGGTTAATGAGAACTAAACATACAGCTAAAGAACAACAAAAAAAGAAGAACACCCCACTTCAAAGTTCCTGTATGTTGAATAGCTGTCGAGCTAGTTTCCACTGGGTGTTTGAAAACTGTGCGTTCTTCTGGGCAGCTGACAGGTGCCCAATGGAGTGTAGCAACAAGGAAAATCTCCGGAAACATTGGAGTAAATTTGCAATTAAAAATATTGATAAAGTGAGTAAATGTTTGAGTTCTACAGTGCTACATTCCTGCCAAAAACACAAAAAGTTAATTTTGTGTCAATGAAAAAGTATTATTTCATAATCTCATAATAATTTCTCAAAGCTTTTCCTGCTCCTTGTTTCCTTCTGAACAGCAGGCTTCGACCCGCAATGAATCATTTCAGGATTGGGTGGGTGAAGAAGGATGTTTGAGCTGTGAGCGTTTCTGTATGTCCAGACACCAGCTGGTGACCCTAGTCGAAATATGGGTCTATCGCAAATCCGTTTGATAACGCAGTGATGGAGGGTCAGATCTATATTCCTACCAAAATTCATGCTGCTCTTGCAGCTGTTTCTGTGCTACTGTTGACCAGAAATCTCTGGGGGAAAAAAAGGGCAGTTCAAAAAATACAAGCCCTGCTTCATTGATAAATAAATCTAACAGACATACTGTATGAAGCTGAAAGGAAAGGATGTTTATAGTTAGACTATAGGATTAACATTATATTATCACTTTGTTATTTTAATGAAGTTTAGTTTAGTTTATTCATTTCATCCATTTCTTTAAAAACAACGTAAATTCAACAAAAAAAATACAAATCATAATTTAAACGAAAGGAAGCAGAAGAAGAAAAATTCTTATATCTGCCCCTTTTTCTAAAAAAAAATTCTATTAAAAATTATCTGCAGATTACAAAAAAGAAAAGAAAAAAGAAAAAATAGTAAAAGTTTAAATCCTTGAACAACAATTCATACATGTGCATATTTCTCCAGCAAATTAACCTTTGTCATTCTCTAAAATATAGTCATTGATCTGGCATTTTTAATGTCATCTTCCAGATTATTTCATAATTTAATTCCCTGGACTGAAGTACTCTGTTCCTTTAAACTGGTTCTAACTTTAGGTCTTACAAACATTTCTATCCCCTTGAGATTATAAAACGCTTTCTTTTAACAAAGTGTAATTGGATGTTTGAAGGTAATATGTTTTTATGAGCCCTATACATGACTGATAAAATACCATAATCAATCAAATCAGAGAATTTCACTAACTTTAACTGATGGAACAATGAATTTGGTGGGTGATAGTAATGCTTTCTGGTGATAATTCTTACAGCTCTTTCTGTAAAATAAAAATAAGATTTGTAATTGTTTTACATGCTTTTCCCCAAACAACAATACAGTAGATCAAGAGTGGAACAATTATTGCATTATATAATATAAACAGAGCTTTATCATTAAATAAATCATTTACTTTGTATAATACTGCAATAGATTTTGCTATTTTTGTTCTTAAATGATTTATATGAGGTCTCCATGTCAGCTTCTCATCAATGATGACACTCAAAAACTTCACCTCACTGACTCTGCAGATCTGACGTTAAGTGAAAGGATAAACTTTGCTGTTTGAGACACTGATGTTTATAATGTGTTGTAGGTATGAAAAGCAGCTCTCAACCTTCGTGTCCTGCCTGGAGAGAAGTGAGTCTGCATCCAAATCGGGAAGTCAGCCTCTGCCTGCTGACAAAACTAAGCTCCACACTGAGCTGCAGGAGCTGCAGGTACAATAAATCTAATCAAAACTGTGTCTGAACCCTAAAATAAAGAATCACTTAGTTTACTGATTAAATCACAGACTCTTTGTTTTTTCAGGCCTTGCAGCTTGAGGAGCAGGGCCTGGAGAGGGCTCATGCTGACATGGTGTCTTTGGGGACATTACTTTATCCCACAGCACCTGAGGAGAGAGTGACTCAGCTAAAAGATGAGCTGCAGACTCTGTACAACAGGCTGACTGTCCAACAGCAAGTCCTCCCTCAAAGGTAAAGGCTTCACGAATGACTTTCAGCTACTAGCGCACCAAACTTAAACTCAGTATCTTCAAAACTGACTGTCTATTTTTGATTTTCATGACCAGCTGGCTGTGACAGTCGCTTTAAATTGGGTTGAATCTAAGGAGCTGATTTATAAAGATTCCAGATAAGCAGTACTAAAAAGCTGCGCAAAAAAATGTGTTAAAAGTGAGCGTGTTTTGTGTGATTTACTAAGACTGCATGTATCTGCCCTCACTCGAGTAGCTAGGCAAGGCGTTAATTCTTCCTAATGGATGTTACTGTCCCTGGTGGGCAGGTAGCATGCTGCCTTCGGTATAGTCCTTGTGCTTTGGGCTGTAGTATGAGTTTTATCGGCAGAAAAAAAATAGCAATAATGGAAAACTAGAACTGTAAAGCAGTTATGACTGGGATCCAAGCCCATTTATGTACCGTATTTTTCGGACTATAAGCCGCACCGGACTATAAGCCGCACCCGCCATTTAAAAAAAAATCCACTAACATTAACATATAAGCCGCACCCCCAACATAAAAAAACAGTACACCCAAATTTGCCGTCAAAAAAGTGAATTCAACATCAAAACATTAAAAGCAAACCTTTAGGAATTAAAGTTCGGAGGAATACGGTTCATTTAACTGATCTTATTTTGGTAGTTTTCTTTAAAAGTTTCTGGTCCAACAAATAGTCTCATTCATCGTCCTCCGGCGCACTGAAACCATCGAAGTCCTCCTCTTCAGTGTCGGAGTTAAACAAGCTGAGAAAAGCTGCGTCACACAGCGGTATCTGTTCAGTGTCGGAGTTAAACAAGCTGAGAAAAGCTGCGTCACACAGCGGTACCTGTTGTCCTCCCCGAGTAATGCTGGCTCTGAAGCTGTGGTGGCAAAGCCCTCCCGCTCCAGCATACGTCACTGCATGGAATTCCTTCCCCGGAGAGTGCAGTGCGGGAAAAAAAAAGTCTGTGACTCTTCACTCGACGTTTATCCACAAACTGGTCCTGGATTAAGCTCCAAAGTTTTTATCAGTCAGATTCCACTGTGAAAAATGTCTGTTTGATCCCCATTTATGAGTTTTTGGCCATTGACTATCTTTAAATCGCAGCTTCCTGGTACAACAGTCGGCTCTGGAAGCGATCACTTTTTTCTTTTTTTTCCTTTCTTTTTTTGAAGCGAGTGGTTGAAGCAAATGGAGCATAAGAGCCCCCTGGTGGCTGAAGAAAAAAATCCACGTATAAGCCGCACCAGACTATAAGCCGCATGGTTCAAAGTTCAGGAAAAAAGTCGCGGCTTATAGTCAGAAAAATACAGTAGTTCTGTAGAGAGTTTAACACTGTTGAAGCCTTTTACAATATTGAGACTACAAGTTTTTGTCATCATCGTGACATCTGTACACCAGCACAGGTCAGTATAAAAACTGAAACCTCCTCCCCTTGTTTTCCCTGAGTGTCTTGTCCCCATGTGCGATATGAAGGCAGAAGTTGGGGATCTGGTGCACGTTGTTCAGGACAGACTCTGTGAGCCATGTCTCAGTGTGGCACAGTACAGCAGAGATAAAAACTCTTTCATGGTGCTGGTCAGCAGTGAAAGTTTGTCAGTTTTGTTTATGTAGTGAACACTTACTATAAAAATGTTCAGTAATGGCCTGCCTAGTCTGCGTTGTTGGAGTTTCACAAGCGCTCCTGTGCGCTTTTCTCTCCTGCGTGTCAGTCTGCATTTACGACAGTTGAGAAGAGAAGCTGCACTGCTCACAATACCGAAAAAAAAGGCTGTTGGAAATGGAAAATACAGGCATAGTTCCTGATGGCATAAGCTGCCTGACATTCAGCAGATCTTCTGCGTTGTATTTGAAAGTAATTGGTTGACATGTAGCCAAACAAAAAACGAAAAACAACCTAATCTTTGCAAAAAACAAGAAAGTTTATCTTTTTTAAAGTCACCTTTTTTTCTGTTTTTATTCATGTTTTGCAAAACATCGAAATGGAATTGTGGTTGTAAATTAGCAAGACTCCCTGAACAATGGGTTTCCTTATCCAACAAGCACTCATTTCAGTGGGAGTACATCCTGCGCCTCCTGCAGCAGTGGTGCACCGTAGTGGTCACGTATTCTAAAGCCTTCTGTCTGTAGCTCTTCAGTGCGCTGTCAGCTCAGGGATAGCAATGCGTGTCTAGGTCTGAGATGATGCTCAGCTGATCTGCAGTCTGTCAAAATGACAGCTGGCCTTCAGATTTTTTTTTTATACCATTAAACAAAAAAAGGGTCAAATATGTAAAATATCATTATGAACCCTGGTGACTCACTGCTGGAGCAGAGTGGAGCAGAGCAGACAGTGACTGATTCAGTGCAGCCAGTTTGCACCTGTTTTATAGCCAGTTTTAGGTTTGATAAATCACACTGTGTGCAAAAGGATCTGCATATCCTTCTCCCAGAATTTTGCCTGATTTGATAATAATCATATATTCTGTATTATATATCACTAAATTGATAATGCAGCAGATGCAATCCTTGCTGTGCACTCGCTATTCATTGAAAAATCTCCCCCTATATTTTTATGAGTTCTACATCAAACTATTACTCTGAAAATTTAATAACATGGATCCACTGGTTTGTGAGATATTTTGCTAACAGACAGTCAATAGAAATTTAAAGAAAATTTTTGTGATATTTTGTGTTTAGAGGTGTCTTGAAGCTGTCATTGACAACAAAGGCTTTTGTACAAAGTATTAGATAAATTTCAGTAAGTGTGTTCAATACTTTTTCCCTGTGCCATTCCACATCATGATAACTTCATTTCTGGACATTTATGGTTTGATTTCTTTGTATGTATGGACCACTTGAGTTGTTACCGAAAACTGTTGAAAATTTCATGT